AGCTTTGTACAGACTGATTCTATATTCAATTTGTTGCGGTTATACTACTTCGCGATTTATCAACATTGCTAATTTTTATCAAAAGGGCATGGTAGTTATCTGTTAGCCATTCATCTGAAATAAAAAGCTCATTGGTCTAATATATGGCTAATAATAACTAAAGTTGCGGTTTCGATTCCCATGGGGCTCACATATTTCTCGATATGAACTTCGTTTGAAAATCTGGATATTAAATTAAGGAATATCGAATTCCGCCTGGGTCACAAACCGCCGTCCATTTTCTCGTTTCAGTTCTTCTTTATATCCTCCTATATCATAAAAAAAAACAGATACTATTCTTTCATTTTTATTTTAGATTTAAATTTTAGAACATTGTTATTTTTACCTTATTGCATAATTATAGGAGTTTTATATAATTCGCAACCATGTTGTTTCTCTGTCGTTACACGATATACACGGGCAAATACTCAGATTTTTATTTAATCGAGGTTTTAATCCTGAACTTTATATTGAGTTGAGTTTATATTGAATTGTAACCTGACCCGACGTTTTTTTTTAAATTCAAATTTCAAATATCGAAGAGTGTTAAGTTTAATTTCTAAGTTTTAATTTTTTCTCTGGTGAGGACAAGGCCTAACATGCAATATTGTGCGCGCTTTTGAGTTTGTTAGAGAGTTTGAGAGCCTGATTTGTGAATTATCCTGAATCTAGTTGTTGTCTGTAATTATCGTTGTATCACTGCACACATAGTACGTTGTGAGTATATGTATACATTTATAAGTTGGTTGTAGGTGTGATTTTTAATTTATGCAAAATATTCCGGTGTTTTCATATATTAAATATCTTCTTTTTAATGCTTGTATGCTATATGAGTCACTGATGAGGTAAACGTCGCCTTGTTGTTTGCAAAACAAATATTATTATGGCGATACAACTGTAACAAATAAATGCATACAACGGTTCTTGTGAGTTAACCTTAAAAGCTAGATATCTTTATTTTTTATTACAGAAAGGAAAATATTTTTTTTCTGTATATATTGTGGTTTCTCGAACCGTTGTCGCAGCGGAGCAAAGCCATCGAAAATTATTTTTTCTCACTTTTCTTTGCTTCTATGGTGGTAGAACCGTGATCTTATATAGCCTTATTCGATAAATGGTCTATTCAAAACAAAAACAAGCTTTTCAACTTTATAATGTTAGTAAAGATTAGTTACTTAAGTATCCTTCTGGTCTACTCGAAGAAAATTTTGATGAGATAAACTCTAATCACCGCAGTATCTTAATCTCCCCTAGTATTGCGTAAGCGCATGAAATCGATTATTTAATTTATTCTGATCCACTTGTTGATTTTTTATTATTTTATTACAATTATTCATATATATATAGATAGTTTTATATTATATGACCGAATATCAGACTCATCGTAGAAATCATAACAGGACTTTTCCGTCTAAATAGACATCTTACACTGATAGGAATAGGTAGCGACCCCCTATGTCCGGAGTGCAGAGAAAGTGAGGAAACAAGCATCCATCTGCTCACTGAATGCTCTGCGTACTCGAGGCTAAGACAAATGCATATGGGCTCGGGCGAAGTTACAGAAGATGACATTAAATAACTACAGATGGAAAAAATAATAAGATTCTGCAAGCAAACCGAAAGGTACTGTCTATAGTTTACGCGAGTAGTACACATTTAAATAAAACGGTTTAAAACGCGATATATTAGTTAAAACAAAACCAAAACCTATGCAAGGAGGAAATGGGGAAATGGGTGAAATGGTCGGCGGATGGCGTGGACTGATCCCCGTCCTGCCGAGGGGAATAATATAATAATAATAATAGTTTTATAATTTCAATTCGTATTATTTATTACACCTTTCGGAACTTCAGAGAGGGAGCAGACTGAAAAACAGCGCCGTGTGAACATCTTCGTGTATCATTCGGGTCTGAATCGCGAGGTGTCACAAAATTTTACTTTACGAATTTAGTTTTAAGTCTTCAGTTTGTATTTTTTAGTCTTGTGTCTAGGAGAAAACATTCTCTCTCCTTTCTTTACATATTACTGCCCCATGCTCCACTCCCCACGTGAACAAACAATATTAATTTTAGAAATAAACCTATTATTAAAGAGTACCCGCTCTCAGCGCGATGTAGTTGGTAACAATGTTCAGTATTCATTTAAATAAAACACTTTAACAGTTTAAAACGCGATATAGCCGTGGTCACGCGGAGCCTCCCCGTGACCACGGCTGCTGCAAAGCATCCGGAACGTCGGGCCGAAGTTAACAATCATTTCCAAATAAGTTTAACTAATATAGCGCGTTTTAAACCGTTAAAGTGTTTTATTTAAACGTGTACTACTCGCGTAAACTATAGACAGTATGTTCAGTATTATAACTGCTAAATTCAGCGCACTATGAAAATTTTGCAGCACGTTATAACATTGCAGCTACAAAAAATTACCATTCTGGGAGTCATATAAAAGTTGTCAGCGCATATAAGGTTATTAATTTCGAAAATTAAGTGCAGCTTGACGGTTTTCATTATGAATTTTGAACTTTTGCGAGAGCGAGGAGTTTTAGTGCTATTATTTGTCGAGTTGCTTTGAAGCTAGGCTTTGATGTTTCATTAGGCTGGTTGTGTCATTTACCCAATTATTTCAAGAAATACTAGCTGCGTCAGCGACTTCGTTCGCGTAGAATAGTTATTTTGGGTATCCATATTTCATCGCGGCGTACGCATCAGAAACCCCGAGAGATGAATAATTTCTCCCATTTTTTTCACATTTCTCTGTGTTTCTTCGCTCCTATAAGTCACGGCGCCATGTTTTATTTATAATTAGCCTTCCTCGATAAATGCTCAAACACGAAAATATTTTTTTCCATTCGATTTAGTAGTTCCTGAGATTAGCGCGTTCAAACCACCAAACTCTTCAGCTTTATATATTAGTATAAATATAGATCTAATATGTATATATATATATATATCTTTCTTAGTTTACATTAACTAGCTCCTATTGTGTGTGTACACTTTTAACGGTTTAAAATAGGAAACAAGTTAATTAACTTATCAGCAATTTTTTTTATCTGCGGCCTGACGTCTCGGATGTTTTCCAGGGACATGGCTCTATGGCCCCATGACCTATATATATTAAGATAATTGTTAATAAGTTAACTGAGTCATTTCGTGTTTTAAACCGATGATTTTTTAGATATTTTAGATGTTTCTACTCGGGTAAACTACTTAACACTGCCGAAAAGAATCTTTAAATAAACGAGGAAAAAACACACAATAGGTACAACATTGTTTTCTAAATCGTTCCGAACTATTCCGTACCCAACCAACCAACAAACCATTCAAGAAACACCCAACTCGCAACTTCACTGTTTCACCTGCGGGCATTATCGTAATCAACTCGTCTTTAAAGTACAAACTTTACATCCTCACTGATGCACCTTATGCCTTTGTAATAAGGAATAGTTTTGTTCGAAGTCTAGTTAAAGAGGGGTAAATGCCTGTGGCAAAGTTTGGAGAAGCGAAACGATTTAACGTGTGTAAAAACAGCAATAAAATTCAACGGACGAACAGTAGTTCTTTCGGGATCTTAATTGAATGCCAAATCTTCGCTTCGTGCAATATCTTTTAAGACAAAATTTACACTATAATACATATTGATATGGTAAATAAGAGCTTTATTACTGACTAGCTGTTTCAGCGACTTCGTCAGCAAAGAATGTTAATTTTGGGCATCCATATTCGTTTTTGCTAACCCCTTTATATTTATAAACTTAGCTTAAGTTAATCTTAAATGATAGACATATACTGGAGAACTTTTTTTAGATCGTTCAAAGAGAAATCTTTCTTACATACATATTTTTGGGGTACCTTGAACCGTTTTTGTAGTGTACCTACGTTCCTAGGCGTATACCTATAATGATGAATAATTTTTCCCAACTTTTCACATTTCTCGCGGTATCTTCGCTTATATTAGTCAAAGGACGATTTTTTATATCCTATTATAGCCTTCCTCAATAAATCATCTAACACAAAAAAAAAATGTTCAAATCGAACCGGGAGTTCCTGAGATTAGCGTGTTCAAACTAACAAACAAACAAACTCTTCAGCTTTATATATTACTTTAGATTTATACATTTTTACATGCATTGTATTAATTAACTAAATATAGTTCTCCTTTCAAACAGATAAAATTGTTTATATTTTTCCTACTATTTATTTATTTAGATAGATAGGTTCATATATATCCGATTCTTAAAATAACAAGATAGCTATAATAAAACAATTAAATGTACACATACACATCACTTGTTGTTACATAGGGGTACATAATATGTTATATATATGTATTACCTAACAATCACTGCCTAGCGTAAGCGTTGCGTAGCGTAAAGCGCGAGAGGTCCTGGGTTCGAATCCCGGGTAAACATTAGATTGTTTCGGTCGGGCAGGCCACAGAAGTCTGATCACCTACTTGCCTGTAAATAAAAATGATCAGTGAAACGGACCCAGATATGTGTTCGCCCCATGCCCCACGAGGGTAATAGGGATTTCACTATATATATTTATTTAGTGACTTAAGCTCTGTAACTTACTTAAATACAATAATTTAAAGAAATTAATTCAGGTTTTAAATCTATGTTAAGAACATTATTTCTCTAAATTCTAATTTTTACAACTACCTAATCTAACCTTCAAATTTAAGAGAATTATAAATTATTTTCTTAGAGTCATGTTGGACCTGGTGAGATTCTAAGCGACGCCATGTTTATTAGCAACTAACTATGTCAGGGACCTCCTCCGAGTAGATTAGTTAGTTTGGTTGGTGTTCGATGACTAAACAAACACTCGATAAATACTCTCACCAACAAAAAAAAAGTTTTTCAATGCGAACATTTTCTCGAAGCTCGTTTAAACAAACAAGCGAACTCCAGCCTTATATTTTAGTATGTAAACATATGTACGTAGTTTAATATTTGTCGATCAATATAATCTCCTAAAGAGGGTTATAGCAGCAGTAGACGTCAGTATCCATGAAGATGGATTCAAATCACTTCCGATATTAATTCTGCACGAATCTTCGGTATTGTTGAAGTATAGGAATGGTGTGTTCTGCAAATTGTAGTTCGCAACAGCCTGATCTATTTTCGTCGAATCAATTTTCTTTACGTGCGGCATCCTTGTTAGTTTCCATAACTCGTCTAAAAATATAAATAATAATAATATGTTTAGATTGACATTACATTGCGCGAGAGGTCCATGTATCAATAGGATTAAATAATTAATCGACGATAACGTGTAGGACATAGCTCAATCGGTTAGAGGAACACGGACGCTGACGATGCCGGTTCAAGTCCCGCCCGAGTCGTAAAAATAATCCAATCCAAAAATAGTTTTAATAATAATGATTATAAGAGATATTAAATTATTTGTACTCCTTGAATACAAAAAAATACTTATATTAACTTACTACAATTGTAAAACGCGTTGGCAACATTGTATTAAACAGAGTCCTGGGTTCGAGTCTAGGAGCAACATGATTAAATTAATCGATCATGGTACATAAGAGTCTATTTAATAACGTAAAAAATCGATAATAGAGGCAGACACGTCAATATGTCTGCACTGATGCTACGTTCCCAGCGAGATTTTACGCATTATAAAATACCTTTACTTCGGGAAATAATGTCAGCGGACTTTTTAAACATTCGTAAATGACTAAACAATGTGCCCGCGCCGCAATGAACCTGACCTCCAGTCGAGCGGAAAATTAATTCGTAAGGTCACCGGTTCGATACCCGTGGCGTACATTGTATTCATTGAGGAAATGATTATTCCGGATCGAGCTCATTAACTTGTACAAATTTTTTGAAGGAGACATTGCGATCGCTCAATTAGTTCCGACCTTTAAAAGTCAAGATAGATCAAGTATAATATTTAGCGTATGCGGGTTTTAAAATTGGGGCATGAGTCAGACACATTGTTGTGTCTGTATCATTTATCAATTTTATCTAGATAGAACGACTGCTTCAGATTTTAAGATAAATAAAAAATCGCTTTTAGATTTAAGAAATGGACACGAGCGAGATTTGAACCGACATCCACAGAATTACGCGTTGTTGCACCAATTGCTCAAAAAATTCAACAATGACTTGTAGGGCACAGTAGCTCAATTGGTGAGAGCGATCTAAAATCGATTAGTAAATTATATGATGCCATCGTGTGTTAACCACATGTTAACATAATATTATAACATATTAAAAGTTTTCAAACTTTGGACGGTTGGTTGGAATTTAAACAAAAGATTGCGCTTATTGCTACGCGTCACTTAGCTAAAGTTAAACAATCTCTTATGATGTAACGATTAGGACACTTACATGTACTGGTATTTCCATCAGAGTTATTGTAGCATGCGAATATGACTGCATAATGTTCGTAATTCACATCCAGAATCGAGTACGTCTCTGATTTCTTATCTAAAATGAAGCATAATATATGCTATTAATGAATTGAGATGGAACAACGGGCTTAGAATTTGGATTTCCATGAAAGCAATATATTGCTAATCGACGAGACGAATTAGATTCTGGGTTCTGTATGTTTTAGGTCATATCTGATGTTTCTCAACGTCGCATATAGTATCAAGTGTAAGTTAACAGTTGGATGATAGGAATGTCGAAACAACGTTCGTAAACCAACATAGAACAAAAAGTCGTGTTTATTAATCGCGTTATACTTCAGTTGGTGGATTATAGGATGGCATTATGCACTGTGTACTAAAACATAGAAATAACACTAGAGCCGGCTCTTATAAAATAAAACACTATGAACGGTTTAAATTACTTAACATTTGTTGTTGACTTTAGGGACCTCCAACCTTGGTCCTCCCCTGACCACATATATATATGATAGGAATATCGTTTATTCATGATTATTTTCTATTTTAAGAGAAAAAATAATACAAAGCCATCACGATAGACCTCATAATCGAATCGAACGGTGAAACACTTCAATTTGCAGTTCCAATCGAAACAAGTGTGAAAAATAACTAACCATTAAAAATAAAGGTGTATAGGTAAGTGATTTTGTATCTTTTCGGGATCAAAACAAATAAGACTTACGTACAGTATGACTTGAAATTTGATTTAGAATTTGGATCGTATTTCCATTTCATTAAAATAAATAAAAACTAACTATTCGCCTTATAATACAAATTATAAATGAAAGTATATTTTACCTGTATAGGTGACAAGTAGCAGGTCACCTCCATTGTCTCCATCAACAGTAAGGGCAACCGACCCGTTATAAAAGCTCACTGTGTTGTCGACAATCCAACTGATGGACACATCTGTTGTGTTGTTGGTTTTATGGTTGAAGAGTATAGTCGCGCAATCCCCTTTGATATCTAAATCCGTCGCTACAGCTGCTAAATGCCATTTCCCGTCCAGCTGTAATGAAAATGAACCAGTCCTTTTAAACGACCCATTTTCTACATTAAATTGAAGTATAGCTTAATATTCTGTTAACTCATTATTTTTCTATGTTCAATGGTATAAATCACTTTAATCTAACAAAATAATTACATACTGTCTATAGTTTACGAGAATAGTACACATTTAAATAAAACATCTTAACGGTTTAAAAATGCTTTGCAGCTACCGAAAGGTCGGGCCGTAGTTATATATTTTTCAAACGCCTAACTAATATATATCGCGTTTTAAACTTTAAAGTGTATTATTTAATCAATTATATATTAAGTTACCATTTTTATCATGAGTCTATTATTAGTAAAAATAGATTATAGGTTGAAAAAATTTACGACTCGGGCGGGAATTGAATCGGCATCTACAGCGTTCTATGCTGTCTCTAACCGATTGTGCTTTCGTGCCCTACACGTAATCGACGATTTTTTCAACCTATAGAAGCATGCTCTACCCGCGCAATGTAATTTCAACCCTTATAATTTAATTTTTAATTTATATAGTGCCATCATGTGCATGTGAAAAATCATTAAAGTTTCAAAAATTCTTCTTTCAGTATGCGAAAATTAAGCTATGGGAAAAATAAAGAGTTTATATTCTACACGATACATATTTTATTAACATATAATGAAAGTTTTATTAAATACTGTCTATAGTTTACGCGAGTAGTACACATTTAAATAAAACACTTTAACGGTTTAAAACGCGATATATTAGTTAAACTTATTTGAAAATGATTTTTAACTTCGGCCCGACGTTTCGGATGCTTTTGCAGCAGCCGTGGTCACGGCTGTTAAAGTGTTTTATTTGAAAGTTTTATTTCTTATTAATTTACATAATTCTTAAACAAAATATCTTGTAACATAAATTGAAACATACCTCCTTCAAATCGACTTCCCTAGGAGTGACGTAAGGACAGCTAACATTTTGTTCTACAGCTTTAACACTAATAAACACCATAAATAGTAATGGTAGAAACATCTTTAGATTGTATGCGGCGATAACAATGAGATTAAAATGTCTGTTATCCACTGAATCGGGACGAAACACTACTAGTCTTATAAGTGGATCGCTAATTTCCGTATTGGAAGAGCCTTCAAAATTTGGATTGCTTCAAATGTATTGGTTGAGTGAATAACTTCATTAGATTTTCTTTCAAACTCAATATCTTGCTTTTTTTTATTATATCTATTACTAGCTGTGCCAGCGACTTCGTCCGCTAAGAATATTTATTTTGGGCATCCGAATTCGTTTTTGCAAACTCCTTCCTCCTCTCCTCCTCCTTATAAACTTAAGCTGTTACCTATGACGGTCGCGTCCAATCTCATCGTTCTTGCAAGTTAATCTTAAAAGAAAGACATATAGCGTCTGGGAGTTTTATTTAGATCATTTCTTTCATACATATTTTTTGGATATCTTGAACCGTTTTTGCAGCGTGCGACTCGGTAACCCACAATGAAGAATAATTTTCCCAAAATTTTTCCTATTTCCCGCTGTATCCTCGCTGGTGTTAGTCACAGTCTCCCTCGATAAATGGATAACCAACACAAAAATAAAAAATGAATTTTTCAATTCGACCCCTTAGTTCCTGAGATTAGCGCTTTCAAACAAACAAACGAACAAACTCTTCGGCTTTATATATTAGTATAGATAAAATGCTTTTATAGTTATTTGGTAAGTCACTTTTTAATATTAAAGTTAAATTACGCTACGCAATAGGACAACGTAACATATCCGACTCCGTCTGGAAATTAGGAAATCGAATGGGCGGTAGAAATATCGAAAACACATCTGGGTCACGCACCATCGTCCAGTGATGAAAAATTCTTAAGGTTTAATCGCATTTAATCCGAATATCTGAAGGCAAAATAGGCCGACAACGCATCTTGTTGAGATCACAAACATATAGACAAACATGGTTTTTACTTTCCATCAAGTGGAAACAATGTTTGTCTGTTCTTCATCGTGAGAAAAAAAAATAGTTAGGTTTTAAGAAGATATTATAAATTAATAACGACAATTAGTAGATCCTGATCTACAATTAACGCCGTTTTCTCCTAAGATGCATCATCACCTAGTGAATTCATCCACTCGTGATGGCGAAACGTCGAGAACTCCTTCACAATTACGTCAGCCTAACAGATAAAATACCCAACTAGTGTCGATAAATGATCGCGGAAGACTTACAAATATCTATTTCACATCAAATGATCCCTTCTCATGGAATCTGTTACAACGGATCTTCTATATCAAGATAAGATACCGTTATCTCGAAAACCTATAACACATACTAACCTCACTGCGCGATGTACAAAAATATTTTAATCGTGCTGTTTATTTTCCTACATTTGATCAAATCGCAAATATTACAATTTGGAAAATGTACGGAAGTGAAAACAATGGAATACTTTCAAATAGACAAAGTAAGGACAGTTAGTTTGTTTTGTTGGCTTGTCTCATACTTGGATAGAGATTTTATAATCTTAATACCATAGAAACAATTTTCAGTTTCTTGGAAAATGGTACGTTATAGAAGAATTTCCGGTATGGTACGAAGAGAATGGTCACTGCGCTTACAAAGTATTTGAACTGTGTGGACGCGAATTAAAAATTCAGAGTGGTTTCATCAAAAGAAATATTCAATATATTGTGTATGTCAACAGTACATATAATTCGGGAGATGAAGCGGTTTTTAAGATAAATAAAAGTAATATTGGTAAGAATTATTATTATTATTTTATGTTGATATAAGTGACTCATAATATATGCATTTTGATATAAATATAATGCCGCTCTATATACAAGAGGAATCACACGTTCTATTTGCTTTTCAGTAATCCTCTATTTAAATGCATGTACAGGGCTGGAAAGACTTTTATTTATTATTATTGAAAATCGACTTCGAAGTTGAAAGATTACAATGCCAATATCATGTTGTTCCCCTTAAAATATAGTTACAATCATATTTAATAATGAAATATATCAATTACAAAATAATTTAGTTAAAATAAATATTTAAATAACCACACTTTAACGGTTTAAAACGCGATTTATATAAGTTAAACTTATTTGGAAATTATTTTCAAGTGCGGCCCGATGTTTTAAACATTTAAAGGTGTACTAATTGCGTAAAACAGTTTTAAAATTAATAATGAATATAGTAAAAATTTACCATTCTAATCTAAAATTCTAATTTTTGTATCACATCATCATTTTTTTGCATTTGACAGCCCTAATTTAACAAAAGTTGACGTTCGCAATGAAAACAAATTGTGTATAATTACAGACCCAGTCGGAATGCCGTTGTCTGTTATATCAACAGATTATGCGAATTACTCCCTGGTTTACGGCTGCAGGCTCAACGAAAATTTACAATTGAAATATAGTAAGTCGAATATTTAATAATAGAGTTAATTTTGTTTACTTTTTCTACGCCTGATTGAGTATTGTAGCGGAGTAAATCATTCTCGCCTGTACAGTTCTGCTCGTTGAAATGAGCGAAGCTGTACATTGTTCGTTAATTTATATTTTTGTATAATAATGAAGTATTTGATTAAAAATCTATTATAAGTTGAAAAATGTACGACTCGGGCAGGACTTGAACCGGCATCGACAGCGTTAGAGCTACAGTACATAACACTATGAATACCGGATTAAGTCCTGCCCGAGTCGTAAATTTTTCAATTTATAAGCAATTTTTAATCAATATAGTTCCTTCATGTAAAAGTATTTAATGTTTACGCCTCTGTGGTTCAGCTCAACGATGCGGACGACACGTAGGTCACTACGTTAGAGCAGCAGCACGGCACGCTGTGGATGCAGGTTCAACGATAACGTAGTTTTTTTTTCAATCTAAAATCGAGTTTTAATTTACACGATTCGGATGACGTAAAGTCCTAGATGGGAATCCCGGAAAACCAGTGTCGGTCAATCGTTGCTCTTAGGTCCTAATTCATGTCTAGTTTAATCTACGCTGTCATTATTAGTCTAATTCTAACTTTTTTCCAGTTTCCGCGTGGATTCTCTCACGAAGCAAGTCACTATCATCGGAGCTTTTAGATCAAGCATATAGAGAACTTAATTCTCTACCAAGCGCCAGTTCAGCATATTTACAGAAAGTGAATCACAGTGATACAATGTGTTCTTATCAGTGGACAGCTGAAATACATGCAGTTGATATTAATAATTAAAAATACGCATTCGGATATTTATTTGTTTTTATGATAGAGGAGGACGGGCAGGGCACGAGGTTCCCTTGAGGGTAGGTGATATACCCCTGCCCAGTGTGATATGCCCAATGCCTTTAAAATCTAAACATGACGTGACCTAATTTCGCTTTGGATATTCGGAAAACCACAGACTGAAACCAAAACGCGATTTAGTTTCACGGCTTTTTGTCATATTTGGACATTGGTTCGCGAGCCGGATGGAATCTCGATATCCCATATAGATTTCCTGACGCATCCAACATGTTACACAAAAGTTATAAATTAGAAACCGATGTAGGATCCGATACTGTCTATAGTTTACGCGAGTAGTACACATTTAAATAAAACACTTTAACGGTTTAAACGCGATATATTAGTTAAACTTATTTAAAAATGATTTTAAACTACGGCCCGACGTTTCGGATGCTTTGCAGCAGCCGTGGTCACGGGGAGACTCCCGGACGTCCCTAACGTCGGGCCGAAGTTAAAAATCATTTTCAAATAAGTTTCACTAATATATCGCGTTTTAAACCGTTAAAAGTGTTTTATTTAAATGTAGGATCCGGTTGGGATTGAACCCGACACTTTGCATATTATACTACCGTTATACCAAAGAGCCCATTTTCGTGAATGTTTTTTAAATAGTAAGCAACTCTAAAACTAAAGGCAGATAATCATTTTACCAAATTCTTTATTAAATTTAGTGTTGCCAGTATAATAAATGATTATATAGGCACAGGGAATCTAAACGTCATAGGCTCGACTGGGACATCTTCGTAATATTTTGGTGCACATTTGTCCCTTTCATCTTTGACCAGTTGCGTTGGTTGTATTCCAATGTTCTGAAGAGGTTTAACTGCCAACTCCTTGGATACGTCATTCAGTATTTGATTTCGTGAAAGTATCCACACGTATACTGAAACAGATAATAGCGCCATGATGAAATAGATGGCGCTAGCGTATTACTAATTCTCAAAAGTAATATATTTCGCGTTGCAAACCGTTAAAAGTCCTTTTTTAAAGTGTACTCTCGCGTTGACTACAAAGAATACTTATCCTTTTTTTTAAATAAATACTTACTAAAATGTTTATCTATTAGTGGACTGTATTGGCAAGTGTAGATTGTTGCGTAGTAATTGTAGTTAGTCGCTAGAACTCTGAACGGATATCTTCTTGTTTTCACTGGAAAATGATAAATAAATTTATGAAAATATAGCCTAAATAACGAAATTTGGATACACTATAGTTTTACTGTTCATACGCAGTTAGCCTTAAGTTAAATTTTATAGAAAAATAAAATGTTAAGCGTACGAAATTACCATTCAATATTTACTTAATAAAATAATATATTTTTTTAATAACACAATTAATACTTACATCGCCTAGGAGCATTCTTAAAAGCAAATATCAAATCCAAATTCGCTGCATCCTCAATTTTGGAAGGAATGTCAACTTTTCCAACACTGAACCGGTGAAATAGCCCTCGGTCAACTCTAGACTGGTTGAGGTAGATTCCAGACGGTCTCGTCATCAGTTCAATGGTAGAACAGTTGTTTTTTACCTGACCGTCACTCGAGAAGTGGTAAGCTTGGTACCATTTTCCATAAAACTGAAACAGAAGATTTTTTCATTATCAGCAATAGTTTTTTGTGTTCAGAACCACAATTTTCTTACATCAGCTAACTTGAAATCTTCTTGCAACCCAACGTTATCCGGGCATTTTCCTGGTATAGTAAAATATCCAAACGTAGAACTAAAACAAATAAATAATATAAATATTATCATAATTGCGACTGTTGCTCTCAATTTCAATGACTCAAATAATCAAACCTATTAACTAAAGTAATAAACTATATAGAATAAATAAAAGAGTGTCAGTTTGTTTATCGTCAATTTGTTAAAAGGTATACGGAGATTTGAATTGTTTTAAAATATTTTGTAAGTTTAAAATTAAAACGTCGAGAAAATTTGTAAATAAGTTTAACTAATACATATCGCGGTTAAATCCCTTAAAAGTGTTTTAATTAAATGTGTTACATAGTTACACATAGGTCCACAACTCTTTAGATCAGGAAATGTATTAGTTACACTTATTAATACTGTTTCTAAATACCAACTCACCACACTCCATGCTTTGGAGTCGTACAAACGTGTTCCCAGGGCTCCCTCAAAGCACCGTAGAGGGCGTTGTGTTTAGTGGTTCTGGTCAGTTATACGATTTACTACACTCCCGTCGTCGCTATTGCCCAACGTGAGCGTGCATTAGGCATTCATACCATCAGTTAAAAAAAGGGACACACTCTATTCGAAAAGTCCAGCCGAAATTACAATAATTCGTAAATAAATTGAAGCAATACATTTCGCGTTTTAAACTTCTAAAAGTGTTTTAATAAAAAGTGTACTACTGGCGAAAACATTCATGTATGCGAATAGTTACAGTAGTTCCACGACTCATCTTCCGTTGTTGTTACAGGGCTGTGGCAATTTAGCCCAATCTAGCATGTGCTCCTCGGTTCATAAAAATGAAAACTCATTAGTCTAATATATCTTATCTGTAAGTTTCTTAAAAGCATTTAAAACCACAGCAAACTATTAGTATATCTACACTTTTCTTAAATATAATATAGTCATTTCTCTTCTCATATGTTTCTATATTCAATCTACAGAGGGTTAAAAGTTTATCATTTCGTTCGAACTGAGGATAGAATTACTGATATTAATTTTTACATACATACATAATACCTTTTCGTTGTTACTTAATTCAAATAAAACCATGAGTTACTATAACGTTAAAAGCTTTATTAGTTTATCTGCATTACTGTCTTTCGTTAAAAAACCTTATTCTTGAGAGTAACCTTAACTTTTTTTTTTAAGGTGTTGTATTGAGAAATAGTCTTTAATTCATACATTACTTAATACGTTAAGTAAAACTTAAACTGTAGATACAATTACTTTCCTATTAAGCTTCACTTGTTGACATAAATGTTATCGGATATCACAATCTTCCGAGAATATAACCATTTTGCAGAAATCTATCTTGTTTGTTTGGCTTTCATTTTCTAAGGAATTAATTATTTACACTAAGAACGATTATGGTTTTCCTTAAAAATATAGAATAAACAAAAATAAATTAAACTTATTCTAAACTTTACTTTGCAGCGGTCGTGGGCACGGGTAGACTAAAGATGGAGGGTCTCTGTCAAAGTTAAAAACTACTACGCTAGCGCCATCTGTTGCGTTCTTTCGTCATTTTTTTCCTACTTATTTGTAAATCGTTTGTACTAAAAAACGATTTAAATTTAAAAATTAACCTTTAAAAGAAACTACTCAGTTTCTTCTAAAGGTTAATTTTTACTTATAAAGCTATAACTTTTAGTAGCTGCATAAACTTTTATAGCTCGATGACTCAACTTATTGCCTGGTTCAACTCACTCGTTCGACTCAACTTATTGGTGGTTGCCCTGTTATCGGTTCGAAAACCAGGGAGAAGTATGAGATTAAGGAAGAGACGTCAACTAACTAGCTGTCAATTGACACAGATATTTATTTCACCCATACTCTGTTTGGGGGACGAGATTATTTCAATTATTTATACACCTGATTTAGATTTTAGAACATTACTCTATTACACCTCAGTTTTACAGAATCCTAACGATCATTAAATCCTAAAGCTAAATATAACTACAATCCAAGATATAAGAGGGGTCAACTCATTGGATAATTATCGTGTAGGAGTAGGGTTGTCAATTGTCCTACATTTTGGAGTCGGGTTGCTGTATATAGTACGCTACAATACTATTTTGTTATTAGATTGTACTCCTATATATTTTATAAATTAAAAGAGAAAAATCCTTCTTTTAAAATTGGAACAGACCTTTAGGGATAGCCTTTACCTTTAGGGTAACTTTCGTATGTTATATCTTCATGTTTTGTTATATTAGGTATATACATATATATATTTTTAATGATGGTATATATCACCAAAGAAATGTTGGCAACCCTATTTAGGAGTCACATCCATTCGATAGAACGCGTAACATCAGTGTAGTTGCGCAAAATGTTTCTTTTGTTTTGTTTTTCTTTACCTACCTTGGTGTTTGGGGCAGAATTCACCTTACCTGGCGAGTGTCCGGATGTGAAGATTCATGAGAAACTCGATTATACTAAGGTTGGTTTTTATAAGGGTATTGTTTAAAGGCAAAATAGGCCGACAGCGCATGTTGAGATGTTATACGGCTGGAGTATTTTACCTTACATCATGTGAACTTACCTATGCTTATCTATCCTCCTTTATCTTAAAATGTGTAAGAACATATTTTCGCTAATAGATCCACTGGTAACAATGCATCGAAAATAACCGATCAGTCGAGGGTTTGGAACCGGCATATACAATAAAAGATTAAATTTTCTCAATCGTACTCACAACGTACGAAAAAATCTGCATTTTTATTATTTGATATACCTATATTATAATACTCAGTCAGTCACAGATGGGAAAAAACATTAAACATTTGTAATCTTTGAGTTTGTGGATCTTATAAGTTCAATACTATTCATTGTATTTGTAAGACAGTTTTGTTCTTATGAGCCATCTCTGTAAAAGGAGTGATTCAGTTTTCAGGAGTATGGTACAACGTGGCCAGTTACGCCAGCGATGGCCGAGGTATTTACGATTGTGCCTCTTTGGACTTCCAAGAGGATAACCTGGGTTATACCCTGAGAGAGACCTATGTTGATTTAGACCAGGGGAATAGGACTCAAAAGTCTTATTTCGCGAGAGTAGACCCAACTTTTGACGCTGGAAATAAGGCGCAGTTCATCGTTAGTCATGAGGACGGAGGTAATTAGATATAAGGCTTCTCTAAAGAATATAAGTGACTAATATTGATAGTAGCATTTTAAATATTTTATTGATGCTTACGTATGCTTTAGGTTTAAAGAGTTTATTTATTTATTAACAGTTACATTACAAGCAATCAATAGTCATTAAATTACGCTTTCTTTTAAGCATTCTTATGTTTCGTCTTAATCATATATTTTGTTATACTCGTAAATGTATTCATCATCACTTTTTTACTAACCACCTATGATACTTGAATTGATTACATGGTAAGTAAATTCTGCAGTATACAATACCATAGTTCTCTACAATAATACAATATTAATTTTCAGATAAAGTTCTCCAGTTTCCATTTTTCATCCTGGCAACTGATTACGATAGTTACGCGATTGCCTATACGTGCAAGACTCTAAAGAAGAAAATTCGTACACATTATGGTGAGCCTTATATATTATAAAACCCCGAGACATTTAATATTATAGATGGCGCTTTTAAAATATTACCGTTTGTTATTAGCGCCACCTATTGATAGTTCTTGATACTTCTATTATATTATTTAATTAGTCAAGCACGTGTCGTCAAAATGTTTTACAAAATAAATGATACTTGTACATGCTTTAGTAAAGTACAAATAGATGGCGTTACCATGCAAACATTTTTGAGCATATAGTGGTCTGAAGAAAATGACAATACTAATCAAAATATGTATTTTTTTTACCAATTGTTTTTAATATAGTTTAATGGAGACGATACCACACAATTTTCTAAATAAAAAATGTGTGTTCTACATTTTGTAGTCTGTCTTAAAAAGTGTTATACTATTAATCTGGCAATATTTATTGGGCAAATTCAAAACGCAATAATGTGTGTGTAAAATTTAATGAGACTTTCCGCTTCCAATCCTGATATGACAAAAATCTTGAGAAAATATATCTGGATATAATATATAACAATTAGCTAAGAAGTTACAAAGCCATTATTCTAAAGTGTTCTAACGGACGCCTTGTAAGATAGTGCCAGTAAAAAATCTTAATAAACACCTAGATATTTTTTTGTTAGCCACTCACGTTAGGTCATGTACCTAGTACAATAACATACTCTGTCATCGGAGATAAAAAATGCGGAAGACTTTTTGGCAGTTTTTTACTATATAAAAAACAGTGCAGCATACCTAATAAGAATAATTAGATAATAAATAAAATGTACATAATAAATATAAGTAAGTGGGTGAATTGGGGCTGTTCGGGGGGAAAGTATATTCCCTACGTATATACCCTAGATATAGGAGGGGTTATAAACAAATATAAAGGGTACTTTAAGACCATAACGATAGTTAGTAGAAATGAAAAAAAAACAAGGACTCGACAAAAACTAGTCATACTATATATTATATTTAAATGTCTCTATCTCTCTTTTCAGTATTCACCTGGGTGTTATCAAGAAACAAGGAAGCCTTACACGGTGAAACACTGAAAAACATCGAAACAGCGTTATCCAAATATTCAGAATTGGCGGAGCATAGACAATCGTTTGTTTTAAAAGATTTTAACGACGCCAGCTGCTCATATACAAATAAATATGAAACAGACTTCTTCACTACTAACTTTTGGTGAGGTGATTTAAATAAATATGGAACCATTTCTTGTTTTTCTTAATTTTCTAGGATCACCCTGAATTAGTAAGGAAGATGAGGATTAGGAATCCAAAAGTCCCGCTATAAAAGAATATTTTCTTCCAAACTTCCTTCAAACCTTCTTTAAGCAAACTAGTAGTGCCGACAAGTAACGAAAGTGAGAACGTATTTTATTAAATAGTTTTCGTTCACATTTCCAGTATTCGGTACTTCGAATACTGACCATTAAAACTACGGACCAGTTTCCGTTCAAAATACTTATGTGAAGTCCCGTTGTATTTACTACAATATACGATTCCTCTATCCATTTAGTCACAACTTACAGAGGCGGTTAAACTACGAATATAAAATATTCGTAGTTTTACCGCCGTAGTTTTTCTTTTGTTAACAAGCAAATAAATAAGTGTACTAAATCACTATGTTTGTAGATATCAGAAGAAATATTTCAAAAAAATATATGTACATGATTCTAATACATTAAAATATCTAAACCTATATTCATGATAGTACTGGTATTTTAGTATCCGTTACTCAGTAACGAATTTATGTGGTTTCCGACAGCCCTAAATAAGTAGTATTAAAAAGATGTCTGCTCTTTTGTGAGTCTACCACCCACTTATAAGGCTTCTCATTTAGCTGCCAGTTAAGACTGCGGAGCAAAAAATAGAACTCAGACATTTCGAAGATTACAATTCAGATTAAAACATTAATTATTAATATATATATTAATTTAAGATAGGCTGCGGCCAATATATTTTAGAATATGAATCGAGTAATGAAAGTTAATGTTAGAATTAAATCATTGTTATTTATAAATATTATATATTTAAAATATTTTTCCTATAAAAGCTAAAAATTATTTAAGTACTTTCCGCGAGTAGCACTTATTTAAATAAAACAATTTAACGGTTTAAAACGCGATATATTAGTTAAACTTATATCAAAATGATTTTTAAACCGTTAAAGTGTTGTATTTAAAAGGATTAATATGTTTTAAAGAACACAAGCTAAATCAGCTTTATCGAAAAAAGAGATCATTTTTTCCAATAAGTGTAACTCATTTGAATGCTTTTGATGTCAAACTGTGAAAAAAATAAACAAAAATTCTTGAAGAAAACCGAGGCAAGGACGGAAAAATACCGTTTTTCAAATGTCACCATTTCTTTATCATGGTATTTGGTTATTTCTACGGTTAGCTCTACAGGTAGCTCTCAAGCCTCACGTGATTAATGGACAACCCCTAAATAATATTTTCAAACAGCCATTAATATGTAATGTTTAATCTAAGTACGTGACAGCAATATCGTTTTGGCTATAAAAACGGCTACTTGTAATAAAATTTGATTATCACAATTATAGATTATTTAGCTTGTTTTAGTCGGTTGAATAATTTAGATATTATAATAACGCAAAAAAGTAGTCTTTACATGAGTCGAATATACATTTTTCATAATTAGAATTATTTAAAAAAAAACATAGTGTAGGCGATATAAAAAAGACAGAAAGCAAAAAAAAATATTGTTCTATCTGGTACAAACTATAAGAACTCAAGTGAACTTGCTAAATGGAAATAAAATAATAAGTTAGAAAATTTATTTTTCACATGTTATTGTACGTGATGGCACTATATGTATTAAACATGAATTATACATAAATAAAAAAATTACGACTCGGGCCGGACTCGTAAGGTCAATTGGTTAGAGCAAGCGCACGGAATGCTGACGATGCCGGTTTGCGTCCTGCCCGAGTGGTAATTTTTTTTCAATTTATAATCCGTTTTTAAAATTATTAGTATACATTTAATAAATAATACTTCTTATGGAACTGAATATGCAAGGCGCTGGCACGGCTTGTTCTAAAATATCGTATGTAGTTGACGTCGTTAAATATATTATAAAAAAGATGTGTACAAATAAAACATACTAGTCGAACATCAGACGCAGTTTAAAATGATATGAATTTTTTTACTACGCGGAACTCAAAAACTTTTTAACAATTTCCTGAATCCTTGACGTTTTGGTTTTCTCTATTTGGTGTACGTTAAGTTTTTGCGTAGGGCCCAAGGTCTCATCTTGTCGTTTTAAAAGTGAGTGGCTCTTTTGAAAAATAAAATATTAAACAGTTGTGTTTGGACCATCAAACTGCTAGCTTGCGTTTTGTCTTTCCTTTTATGGTGTCCTGGAATCAATAAGAATAACGCCTCTGTATCTTAATAGCCCGGTAAAGCGATAGATTTGGGTTTGAATTCACCTGAAAATATTTAAATAAAACACTTTAACCGTTTAAAACGCGATATATTAGTTAAACTTATTTGAAAATGATTTTTAACTTCGGCCCGACGTTTCGGATGCTTTGCAGCAGCCGTGGTCACGGGGAGACCCCCTGACCACGGCTCCCCGAAGTTAAAAATCATTTTCAATGAAGTTTAACTAATATATCGCGTTTTAAACCGTTAAAGTGTTTTATTTAAATGTGTACTACTCGCGTAAACTATAGACAGTATTCACCTGAAAATACTTTTTCAGGTTCGTCTTCAGTAATTCTCAACTTTATGGATTTCATAGAGGAGTTAAAATAAGGAGGGTGGGTTCACTTGATGGTAGGTGAAATACCCCAGCCACATAATATCTCAACAAGATGCGCTATCGACCTATTTACGCTTTGGATATTCGGGAATCCACGACTGAAACTGAAATGAGATTAAACTTGACGGCTCTTTAATCTGTAGACGGTGGTTCGTGACCGGGACAGAATTTCGCTATTCCTACCGCAAATTCATCCAGATTTCCAGACGAAGTCAGGTTTTAGAAATAATATAAATAGATTATCCGGCATTACACAATACAACGTAATGTCCTTGTTGTATAGTTTTTTTTTTATTAAACACTAAACTTTTGACCTTCATCTATGCTTGCGAAATCTAGCACTTCCATTTATTGACTATTTATTCCAAGTAAACAAGTGGTCAACGAACTCGTTTGGGTGCTAGACGAAAACTGACAAATAAATATTAGCAAATAGAACTCCGTTTTGCCTGGACATTGGGTGAACTATCGTAGCTATTAAATCGTTTGTCAAATAATATATTATTCAGTCATAATTTATTCTCGCTGATAATTGTTGCTGAGAAACAATTCATTGCGTTATTTATGTACAGTATTGTGCAGCACCTTTGATAGCGGTGTTAGTTGAGCGGTAGTTTCCATTGCTTTCGTGAGACCACTAGTTCGATTCCAGATCCGTATAACATACTTATTGTTGTGTTCATGTTGAAATCATCAGCTTGAGATATTTTTTTATGAAAAGAGAACAGACAAGTGATGAAAAGTGAAATATCCTGGCCATATAACATCAAAACAACATGCGCTTTCTAAATATTTCGGCTTTAGATGTGAATTAATCCACTGCCTAAAACCAAAACATTAAACTTCATGCTTTTTCATCTACGGTAGTTGACCTGACATGACATGAGTTGACAAGACCCAGATTTCGATATTCCTACCACCCATTGACTCCACAGATTTTTCAGACAAAGTTCTATAGGCTTCAAAAAGTCATCAGAACAGTGGAGTTGGATCATCGAACCTAAAATAAATATAAGGCTTAGAATAAAAAAAATAACAATAATACCCACATTTATGACCATTAAAAAGCCTGGTCCCAGTTGTGGGAACTGATTAAGCCTGTTAGTTACCATGGGACATTTTCAATTTAGTAAAATCAGGGGTTAAGGCCCAAGTATATATATATATAGACTACACATTATTTTACTAGTAGTGGTACTTAAAAATAACTTTTTTAGTATCCTAATGCAGACAAACTTCAAGGTCAAAATTTATTACATGTAAATTGAATTGACTGTATGCAAATCTAAATCGGCGAGACCGGCCTAAAAAATCTAAAAGTCAAAATACTTACATTGGTTTATACATACTTGTGTTTGAATAAAATGGATAAACAATTTACGAATAATAAGGGTGTATATATAATATTTACTTCGCCCTTTTAAAACTTTATTTCGAAATGTCTTTTTTCACAATGAGCATAAGTAATATGTCGAAATATATCTTAAGTATGTATAAAAGTTAAGATAACACCAATTAATGTGTGCATCAGTGACTTATCGCAATTTGAACAACTTAATTAACAGTCATGGGAATTACCTGGATTTTTCGTATTAACACTTTTAAATGCGCATCTATTCGTATCGTGGAAACTTAAGGGTTAACAAAACAGCATATAAAGTTATCTAATATAGATTTATTCTTTAAAACCATAGGAATCGATGTAAGGTTAGTGCATAACACATATTTCTGAACCACTGAAAAATACCTTAATAGTTGCTTTTTGATTTCATTTCAGTTAGGTAATCATTAATGTAAATTTAGAATCTATCGTTTTTTACTGTTTTTAACTGTCCTAATTGACTTTTTAATTGGATTTCACTTGGTACGAATTACACTAGGGCTGGTAAAAATGTTTAAAAGCGAGGTACACGGTCGGCTTAGAAAATTCATATATGTATTCCTTGCGTTTCAATACATTTATTCAGTTCGTTCTGCAAGGACCCCGCCAGTTTCGCCGCATACCCACTACGACAGAACAGATGGCGCTAGCGTAGCAGTTTTTACTTTGACATTTGGGACACCCCACATCTTTAGTCTCTCCAAGACCACGGCTGCTGGTAAGCATCGGATGCATCGGGTCGTAGTTAAAATAATTTGTAAATAAGTAACTAATACATTTTGCGTTTTAAACCGTTAAACGTGTTTTATTTAAATGTGTACTACTCGCGTAAACTACAGTATTTGATTCATACTTTATTGTTTGTTATATGTATTCAGATATCTCATTCAAATTGTTAGCAACAGGATTTTTGCCGCCATAACAGCGGTTACTGGTTAGTCACTTCGCGTGCATAATTTACCGACTACGATACAAATATTCTTCGCAAGCATTAACTTATTGTGCAAAGCCTGG